TATTTGTATGCAGTCACATAGGGGAGCACTGATCTATTATGTGATAGCAATAGAGTACAAATAGAAAACAATAAAAGTGTGAAAAAGGTACACCCAAGCACTCAGACCCCCCAAAAGTAAATTCCTGCACACTTTAGCTGCGCCAAATGACTTCTGTGCACACGTGGGACGATGTCATCCCGTTGGCCAATCAAAGTCCAAAACCTGGGGAGAAGATGTCAGTGGCGAGCGTGTGATTGCTTAATGCTGAACACAGCTACATCCCCAGTTATAAGAGGGTGTGCACACTTATGCAACCACATTATTTTAGTTTTTTTTTATGTTTAACCCCCCCCCCCCCAAAAAAAAAATGTCAGCTTGTTTTTCAATTGAGATGTATAGTATATAGGTCACATTATAGGTGGAAAAAGTTCTGCAATTATTTAGCTTTGTCTCATTTTATACATCACAGAAACCTGACATTTTAACAGGGGTGTGTAGACTTTTTATATCCACTGTATGTCATCCTCCCAGCTCACGGCCGATGACAGATCACTACATTGGCCCCCTGCCAGTGTCATGTGAACGCTGTGACCAATCACAGCAGATGATATGACAGTTGTTTACCATCAATAACTTCCATTCATGCCATTTACTGCTTACAACTGTGCTGCGAGCTGTGATTGGTCACAGTGATCACATGTACAGACTGGGCCAATCACAGCCCATCTGTAGCATGTGATCAGCTATGGCCAATCACAACAAAAACTACTGAATGAATCAGTTTCATTCAGTAAAAATGCTTGCTTATACTAATGTAATTTGTTGGTATAAGCAATCATAAAAAAAAGCCTGATCACTTGCCCAGAGTAGTACAATGTTACTATGGTAACATTGTATTGAGAGTAGGAAAAAAAATAACAGCAAATAGTAAAATGTTAAAAAAAAAAAAAAAAAAAAAAAAAAAAAAAAAACCCTTTAATGAAAAATTACTTTGTGTTAAAAAAAAAAAAAAAAAAAAAAGGGTTTTTCTTTTTTTTTCTACACATACTGTCACTAGTCAGTGTCCCTGATCACTGCAGCACCAGTTACAGAATGACGCTGTACTGCATTGGTGACAGTATAAAAAAAGAAAAAAATTGTGAAAACACTCTTTACATTTCTTCATTTTTCCACAAAATCAAACAAAAAATTACAACTTCAAAAAACTCAGCATGCCTCTCACTAAAAATACCTCAAGACTGTTTACTTTCCGAAAAGCAGCCATTTGGGGTATTTGCACTATCCTGGCGTTTTTGGGCCTCAAGAAATAAGTTCAGCTGTCATTACATCAGGAATTATCAATTTTTAGATATATACCATAGTTTGTGGACTATTCCGACCAACAAAAATAATAAACACTGATTTGGGTTATTTTCACCAGACATGTAGCAAATACATTTTGTACTAAAATGTGTAGAAAGATTATTTATTTGCAAAATGTTACAACAGAAACGAATAAAAAAATGCATTTTCAGCAAGATTTTCATGTCTTTCTTTTATAGAGCAAAAAAATAAAAAACCCAGTGGTGATTAAATATCACCAAAAGAAGTCTCTATTTGTGTGAAAAAAAATGATAAAAATGTCATATGGGTACAATGTCGCATGACCACGCAATTGTCAAAGTGCAACAGCGTTGAAAGGTGAAAATTGGCCTAGGCAGGAAGGGGGTAAAAGTGCTCGTAGGCAAGTAGTTAATGCTGCTTTAATTATTTTCAAAGAAACTCATAAGTGAACTAATAATCAGAATTAAATAATTTGGCCAGTATTGTGGGGTTTTTTTCTATGGCAAGTATGTACGTGTCCCATTTCCACTTTTTTGGTTTCTTTTAAGGGCGATGTTCGGCACAAAGGTTAATAAAATAAGCAAACAAATGCTTTTTTCTTTGTGAATATGAACTACAGAAATTTTTCCTTCTGTTAAAGAAACCCTGTCCCGAGAGAGAAAAAAAAAAAAAAAGCATGCAATAGTGAAGTATTTATGTAATATGACCACTATTGCCTGCATTGTGGATGGTCCTCACTCTGCTGCAGAACTGGAGCTGTCCCTAGGATCTTCAGCATCCAATACAGGTATAGCTCGGTTTACAAATTTAATTAGTTCTGTGGGACTTTTTGTACAGCTGAATGCAAAAGAATTGCTGGCAGTTAAAAAAAAAAAAAAAAAAAAAAACACGGCGTGGGGTCCCCCCTCCCATCCATACCAAGCCCTTTGGGTTTGGTATGGATTTTGAGGGGAATTCCCATGCCAAAATTAAAAAAATGGGGTGGGGGTCCCCCCAAAATCCATACCAGACCCTTATCCAAGCATGCAGCACAGCAGGTCAGGAAAGGAAACCATACCAAGTCACATGCCCTCAACATGGGGGGATGCTTTGGGGCAGAGGGGCTTCCCCCCCAAAAGCACCTTGTCCCCGTGTTGATGGGGACAAGGGTCTCTTCCCCACAACCCTGTCCGGTGGTTGTGGGGGACTGCAGGCAGAGGGCTTATCGGAATCTGGAAGCCCCCTTTAATAAGGGGGCCCCCAGTTTCTGCTCCCCCCATGTGAATAAGTATGGGGTACATGGTCCCACTACTCATTCACAAAAAACAAAGTGTAGTGTGAAAAAAGACAGGACACGGTCTCTGACAAGTCCTTTATTAAAAGAAAAAAAAGAAAAGAATGTCCCCCGCAGTAGATCCAGCATCAATGACGATGTCCGCCGCCACCGCCGTTCCGAAAAGAAAAGAAAAAAAAAAAAAAGCTCCACTTCGGACGATGGCCCTCGGCCGTCTGCCTGCTCCAGTGGTTTGACAGTTCTTAAATATGTAAGGAGCGGGGCCACCCAGGAACATCATCGATGTCACATGGGGTGGGGTCACATGCGTGATTTTCCCGGTGGCCCTGCCCCTTACATATTTAAGAACTGTCAAACCACCAGGCAGACGGCTGGGGGCCATTGTCGGGAGCGGAGTCTTTTTTTTTTTTTTTTTATTCTTTTTTCGGGGCGGCAGTTTTTTTTTTAATAAAGGACTTGTCAAAGACCATGCCCTGTCTTTTTTCACACTGCACTTTTTGTTTTTTTGTGCATGTGTAGTGGGACCATGTACCCCATACTCATTCACACGGGGGGGAGGGGGGGCCCCCTTGTTATCTGATAAAGCCCCCTGCCCATAGACCCCCACAACCACCAGCCAGGGTCCCCTTGTCCCCATCAACACCCCCCCCCCCCCATGTTGAGGGAATGTGGCCTGGTATGGGTCAGGAGGGGGAGGGGGGGCGCTCGCTCTTCCCCCTCCCTTTCCTGACCTGCCTGGCTGCATGCTCGGATAAGGGCCTGGTATGGATTTTGGAGGGGACCCCCACGCCATTTTTTTCTTTATTTTGGCGTGGGAGTTCCCCTCAAAATTCATACCAGACCCAAAGGGCTTGGTATGTATGGGAGGGGGGGACCCTACGCCATTTTTTAAATTTATTATGGCAATTACCTTTTTTTTTTCTTCACTATAGCTCAGAGATTCAGCTGTCACTTCCCCCCAGCTAAAAGAAAGAAAATTTCCTTTTAGTTTCCTAAAAGAAACAAGTTTCCTTTAACTCCAGGGAAAGCGACAGCTAACTCTGTGAGCTATAGTGAAGGAAAAAAAAAACGGCAATTGCATTTAAAAATCGGCACCGACATACACTTCGTATTGTGAAAAAAATTTGTAAACCCGAGGCATTATTTTCAATGGATTTTCATTCGTAAACCGAAAGTTACGTTACCCGAGGCGTTTGTAAACCGAGGTACACCTGTACTTCACAATAAACTGGATACTTGCATCTTCCTACTGCGCATCGTGGCATCCACCTCCACAGCTGCTACGTCACTAATGTATCCTTCCCCTCTGGGACAGCCACAGCCATCTGACACACCCAGAAGTGTTGGGTGCTAAAGGTACGGGCAGTGATCTAGCTCTGTAGAGTCAGCTAAGAGGTGCTACTGGTTATAACTGTCCTTTACTATTTTCTTTTAAACAACAAGGTCTCTTTAAAATGTAACACAATCTACAGGAATCCCAAGTGGGACAAGGATCAATCCCTTATAAGACTTGTTATGGCTCTCTCAGAGCTTGCAGTTGCAGCAAGATAGACTAACCATTTTTTAGAAAACCGATTACCATTGTCAAATGTATTTATTGGGTTCTCTAGGAATTCATACAGTCCATACTCTCCTATGGAGAATTTACTAGAGGAAGCATAGTGCAGTCTTTCTGTGCTCCTAAAGGCAAGTGACTAAAGGCAAGCTCAAGCCCATAACAATAGCTCAACCATAATGTCTATTCCCTTCCATTCATGAGCCTGCAGTGCTTGCTGGGTAATTTCTGCATTGCCTAGCAAACTTTGCAGAAGCACAGTGAGCATGCTCAATGTCGGCACATGACATATTACAAATGTCCATAAAGATAGGCATAGCATGGGCTCAAAAAATGTAGTCAATGTTTAACCACTTGCCTACCAGGCACTTATACCCCCTTATTTACCAGGCCAATTTTCAGCTTTCAGCACTGCCGCACTTTGATTGACAATTGCGCGGTCATGCAACATTGTACCCATATGAAATTTTGATCATTTTTTTCTCACAAATATAGCTTTCTTTTGGTGGTATTTAATCGCCACTGGGCGCTTTACTTTTTGCGCTAAAAATAAAAAAAGTGTAAAAAATTTGAAAAAAAAAAAAGTTTGTTTCTATTATAAAATTTTTCAAACAGGTATTTTTTCTCCTTCACTGATGTGCGTTGATGAGGCAGCACTGATGGGCACTGATAGGCGGCACTGATGGGCACTGATAGGCAGTACTAATGAGGTGGCACGAATAACTAATATGAGCACTGATGGGTACTGATAGACGGCACTGACTGGCATCACTGCTGGGCACTGACTGGCGGCACTGACTGGCACAACCCCCCTGGGCACTGACTGGTGGCACTGACTGGCGGCACTGGTGGGTGGCACTGGTGGGTGGGCACAGGTGGGTGGCACTGCTGGGCACAGGTAGGTGGCACTTCTGGGCACAGGTAGGTGGCACTGCAGAGTGGCACAGGTGGGTGCACTGCTGGGCACAGGTGGGTGCACTGCTGGGCGGAGCTAGTGGGCGCACTGCTGGGCACAGGTGGGCGGAACTTGCGGGCGGCACTGCTGGGCACCGATCATCAGGGCACTGATAGGTGACACTGACTGATAGGTGACACTGATGATTGGGTACTGATAGACGGCACTGACTGGCATCACTGCTGGGCACTGACTGGCGGCACTGACTGGCACAACCCCTGGGCACTGGAGCTACTGGTGGGTGGCACTGGTGGGTGGCACTGCTGGGCACAGGTAGGTGGCACTTCTGGGCACAGGTAGGTGGCACTGCAGAGTGGCACAGGTGGGTGCACTGCTGGGCACAGGTGGGTGCACTGCTGGGCGGAGCTAGTGGGCGCACTGCTGGGCACAGGTGGGCGGAACTTGCGGGCGGCACTGCTGGGCACCGATCATCAGGGCACTGATCATCAGGGCCCTGATGATCGGTGCCGATCCCCGCTCTGACAACTGCCGGTTCTCGGCAGTACTTTCCCCACGATCTGACAGCGTGAGGAAAGTGCAGCCGAGAACCGGCACTTGCATTTCCCTCTGATCAGCGTGTCATTGGACACCGCTGATCACGTGGTAAAAGGCCGCTGTGATTGGCCTTTTACCACATCACGTGATCAGCTGTGTCGGCTGCACTGCGGCCGGCCAGTTCTGGGAGGGCGTCATATGACGTCCTCCCAGAACGCACCCTCCTGCACACCCGGCGATCTCCATGATCACCGTGTCCTACAGCCACAGCTGATCACATGACGAGGTAAAAGGCCAATCACAATGGCCTTTTACCATGTGATCAGCTGTGTCCAATGACACAGCAGATCACGGAGTAAATAGAGTTGCGGTTATAGTCAGCACTTTCCTTACACTGTCACAGCGTGAGGAAAGTACTGCCGATAACTGGCAGCTGTCACAGAGCAGATCGGGACTGATGATCAGTGCCCTGCAGTGATGGCCAGCAGTAACACCCAGCAGTGCCTCCCACCAGTGCCCAGCAGTGCCTCCCACCAGTGCCGCCTATCAGTGACCATCATTGCTGCAGATCAGTGCAGTATCATCAGTACCTCCTCATCAATGCCGCCTCATCAGTGCAGCCCATCTGTGCTACCTCATCAGTGCCCATCAGGGCTGCAAAAAATAAAAAACACCCAGTGGTGATTAAATACCACCAAAAGAAAGCTCTATTTGTGTGAAAAACATTATAAAAATTTCATATGGGTGCAGTGTTGCATGACCGCACAATTCTCAAAGTGAAAATAATAAACAAACTCCTCAAAATTTACAAAATAAACATTTGACATAAAACAAAGAAAAAAAAAAAAATATCAGTGATCAATATAGCCACCCTTCTTTTCAACAGTCATAAGCCTTCCACTCATGGAGTCTGTCAGTTTCTTGATCTGTTGATGATCAACTTGTTGTGCAGCAGTAACCACAGCCTCCCAGACACTGTTCAGAGAGATGTACTGTTCTCCTTCACTATAAATATCCCGTTTAAGAAGGGTCTACAAGTTCTCAATAAGGTTTCAGGTGAGGAAGGGGGCCATGTCATTATTCTTTCATCTTTAAGGCCTTTACTGGCCAGCCATGCATTGGAGTACTTTGATGGATGTGATGGAGCATTGTCCTGCATAAATATCATGGTCTTCTTGAAAGATGCAGACTTTTTCCTGTACCACTGCTTAAAGAAAAAGTGTATTCTTAAAATGAAGTAGGTTTGGGAGTTGATTTTGAGTCCATCTTCAATCCAAAAAGGTCCAACTAGCTCATCTTTAAGAACAACAGCCTATACCAGTACCCCATCTTCACCTTCCTGGCGCCTGAGTTGAAGTGGAGCTCTGTGTCCATTACTAATCCAACCACAACCCATCCATCTGGTCCTCCAACAATCACTCATCTCATCAGTCCATAAGACCTTTGAAAAAACTGTCTTCAGATATTTCTTGGCCCAGTGTTGACATTTTAATTTGTGTGTCTTGTTCAGTGGTGGTCGGGTTTCAGCCGTCCTTACCTTGGCCATGTCTCTGAGAGCTGAACATCTTGTACTTCTGGGCACTCCAGGTAGGTTGCAGTTCTGGAATATGACAGCACTGGAGGATAATGGGTTTCTTGTAGCTTCACTTTTGATTCTTAAATTTTTGGCAGTTAACTTGCGTCTTTTTCTCTCAACGCGTTTCTTGCGACCCTGTTGACCATTTGCAACAAAACATTTGATGGTTCTGTGATCACACCCCAATACCTTAGCAATTTCAAGAGTGCTGCATCCCTCTGAAAGACCTTTACAATTTTTGACTTTTCAGAGTCAGTTAAATCTTTTTTTTGTCCCATTTTGCCTGAGGAAAAGAAGCTGCCTAATAATTATGCACACCTTGATATAGGATGTTGATCCTCAGGCCACATCCTCCCTCATTACACAAATACACATCGTCTGATATGCTTACATCCAATAAGCATTCAAGGTTATACAGCTTGGAGTTGGACAATATGAATAAAAATTAGGATTTGGTCAAAATAGTCACTTGCCGAATAATTGTGCACACAGCGTAGAAGCGTTTTTTCAAGCTTCAGCTTTTAGGAGCAAAAAAAAAAAAAAAAAACAAAAAAAAAAAGTTTTTTTGCCAGCAGAAAAAAAAAACGTTGAGTGCCTGTTCACATATATGTGGATTGGATGCGATTTGAACCTCATTCAATCCTCATGACATGTGAAAAAACATTGCTTTCAATGGTGCCTGTTCACATATGTCCGGAGCACTGGCGGTGTGGCTTCAGTGAGGTTTTAAAAAGAGTTATGTCCGATTTCGGAGCAGTGCGGTCCGGTTCAGGAGCAGAGTACAGGCTATTGACGTCTATGGGAACCGTTTCTAATCCGCATATGTGTGAACAGAAGATTGTGAGTTAATTCTGTTCTGAACCTGATGTAAACCTGTGAACAAGTACTGTATCAATTAGCTGTGAAACTTGAGCTTCAAGCCTCACCGCACATGTGTAAATCAGCTCTTACCCCCGGTTCACATCTATGCGGCCGTGCGGGCCACGTTTTGCACAGGCAGAAGAGCCCATTCATTTGAATGGACTCCCGTGCCACGCAGGAAAAGAGGTCCTTGCACTTCTTTGGAAAACGCAGCCCACACGGTTCCCAGTATGGTTGTGTTTTCCCGTGTGGGCGGCGTGCCATTAGAACTAATAGCACCCGCCCGCGGGTCCGCATTTCTCTGTGCGGGTGGTGAGGCTGCACGGATTTTCGTGCGGATCCGCAGCGGCACCACCCGCACAGATGTGAACCTAGGGTCAATGCTGCTAAAAGATACTAAAACACGCTATTACCAGTGGGTTTTATCCAGCGTTTTTTGCACTTAAAAAATAATAATAAATAAACTACTAGTGTGCATGGAGCCTAATATAGGAGAAATGTTACTGGCCAGATCATCAAGTGAAAACAGAGGGGATAAAGCCTAAAATACATTATTGCATCCACCACATTTACTGATTGGTAATCTGCAATATATTACAGCCTTGGTTTTGGGTTTAATACTGCTTTAGATTACACTTTCTAATGATGTCCCAAAATACACTGGCTGCAGTCAGAGCGAATAAAATGAGGAATAATTACAAGTAATATTTCCAATATTTTTTTTTGTTTATAAAACTTAGGTTCACTATGCAAGATAAAAAAAAAAAAAAAAATCACTAGCAGCGTTATACATTGGGTTTCAGTCTTCCTGGATTTTAGCACCCATGTGGTACATGGATATCAAATACGCATTGGCTTACACACATGTGTGACTAACAAACTGGTACCACTGTGTAACCGTCTTCATGGCTTAAGTCTAAATGAACAAACATGGCCTACAAGGTCACACTACTTCACTGCGTCAACAGAATGCCACAAACCACTTTGAATTGCTAAATGACGAGTCCGCAAGAAGTCCAAACAAGCTCACGTCTTCATACCACGTTTGGAGGAATCTCCACCAAAATGTCACATACATAGACTATAGAGGAGACCTTTTACCCACAATTACACACATCCTACAAAACCATGGGACAGCAAGTAGACAGCGCAAGTCAACTGCTATTAAAGTGGTTGTAAACCTCAGACATGAAATATGAACAAAGCATATCCCTCTATAGTGTGTAATGGTCTCAAGTCAGGCTCCACACTTACTAGCCTTTTGTAAGCTTGTAGAAGCTGTTATCAGCATTTTTTTTTTGTCTGCTCATAGAAGCCAATGTCCATGCACACTATTTTAGGCTAGTAGCGTTTTTGAAGCTTCAGTGTTTAGAAGCGGATAAAAAAAGTTGTGTTTGTAGAGTTTTGGGGAGATTTTTCCAGCAGAAAAAAAAAATGCTAAACACTCCTAAGAGCTTTTTTTCTTTCCGCTACATGTACTGATTGTAAGCTCGAAAGAGTAGGGCCCTCTAACCCCTCGTGTGCTGTTTGTTGTTACTGTACTGTTTCATGTATTGCCCCCCCTCTATTGTACAGTGCTGAGCAAACCCTTTGGCGCTATATAAACTCTCAATGTAATAATAATACTGTAAAAACACTTATAAAACACTAGGGAGGTGCCTGTATACCCTGTGACGTCACTCTGCTTGGCCCCTGTGGAAGGCCGGCGGCCATTTTGGAATTCCCTGCTACCAGCTGCTCACTACACATGTGAGTAAGATTTTCAGCTATTTGTTTACTGTTCTAATGTGGATAATAAAAGTACTACACTATCAGAATCTTCTATTGTCTTGGCTCGTTACTTCCGAGCCCCCCCCTCCTTTAAGGCTTATTGGGATGATCTGGTGGCCACATCAGGACTGGTTAGACTCCCCCTGGTGGTGAGACGATTACACGCCTTCTAATATCTGGTGTCCCTGAGGTTGTGATGTTTGCCCAGCTGATGCAGGCCAGATGACCACTCTGTGATCCAGTTCCAGTTTGCATTAGCCGGATGACCAGGAGTTGGTTAATACTCAAATGCGCATTAAGATTGCGCTCTCTGGTTAGTGCAATCTACACTCATTTCTGCGGGAGGAATATGGTCACAAAAGTCACATATTGTGTCAATTTTCTTATTTATTATGCACCGCAAGAACACGCTTGTTAAATGAGTTATATTCATCATCATTAATACTCCTGGACTTTTTAGATAACTATTAAGATCCTTTTTAATATCAAGTGGTGTTCACTTCACTAGTTATTACCTGCACCAAATGATTATTTGCATGCATTATTGTACGTATTAGTGCTGCATGGTTGTTGGATATATATTACTTTTGAGGCTCCTGGTATTTGCCTTTCATGCTAGCCGCTCTCTGGTCGATTATCCAGCGCTCGTATTTTTTCTATTTCTACTTATAAAACACTAATATTCTTAAACGCTCCTAAATCATGCTATTACCCGCTTTTTCTATCCAGCATTTTTTGTGCTTTAAAAAAAAAAAAAAAAAACTGCTAGTGGAGTGTAAAGAGCACTAAGGCCGGCCATACATGGATCGAAAATTGACCGATTTTGCATCCGAAAATCGTACCTAAGAATAATCGGCTG